ATGACCTGCTCTACAATATTCATTCATTTTACAAATATTTACTGAACATAAACTAAACAAAAAGCCATCTCTGCTCTTACAGCACTTACATTCTTATAGTAAAATACAGATATTAAATGAAATAAATAAATGTATACTATGTTAGATTGAGGAAATGGTATAGAAAAATATAAATCAAAGAAAACTACAGGCCAATTTCGCTGATGAACATAGATGCTAAAATCCTCAACAAAATATTGGCAAACCGCATCCAGCAATACATTAAGAAGATTATCCACCACGATCAAGTGGGATTCATCCCAGGGATGCAGGGATGGTTCAATATACGCAAATCAGTAAACGTGATAACATCACATAAATCAAAGAAAAGACAAAAACCACATGATCATCTCGATAGATGCAGAAAAAGCGTTTGATAAGGTACAGCACCCATTTATGATCAAAACACTCAGCAAAATGGGAATAAATGGGGCATTCCTCAACGTAATAAAGGCCATATATGAAAAACCTACAGCTAATATCATACTCAACGGGCAAAAACTGAAAGCTTTCCCACTAAGATCGGGAACACGACAAGGATGTCCGCTCTCACCGCTTCTTTTCAACATCGTATTGGAAGTCCTAGCCACAGCGGTCAGACAAGAGAAAGAGATAAAAGGCATCCAAATAGGAAAGGAGGAAGTAAAACTATCATTGTTTGCAGATGACATGAGAGTGTACATAGAGAACCCTGTAGACTCTACCCAAAAACCCCTCAACCTAATAAGTGAATTTGGCAAAACAGCAGGATACAAAGTCAACATTCAGAAATCAAAGGTGTTTTTGTACACCAGCAATGCAATAGAAGAAGAAATCAGAAAAAAAATACCATTCGATATAACAAGAAAAAAGATTAAGTACCTAGGCATAAATTTAACCAAAGACACAAAAGACCTGTATGCAGAAAACTATACAACATTGAAAAAAGAAATTAAGGAAGACACAAATAAATGGAAGCATATACCGTGCTCATGGATTGGAAGAATTAATATCCTCAAAATGCCCATACTACCCAAAAAAATTTATAGCTTCAACGCAATCCCTATTAAGATACCAATGACATATTTCACAGAAATAGAACAGACATTTCAAAAATTTATATGGAACCAAAAACGACCCTGAATAGCCGCAGCAATTTTGAGAAAGAAACACAAAGTAGGAGGGATCACAATAACGGACATCAAACTCTACTACAAAGCCACCATACTCAAAACAATCTGGTACTGGCACAAGAACAGACCCATAGACCAGTGGAACAGAATAGAAAGCCCAGAAATAAGCCCAGGTCTCTACGGACATCTAATATTTGACAAAGGGAGCAGAAGCATAAAATGGAGCAATAACAGCCTCTTCAACAAATGGTGTTGGGAGAGGTGGACAGCTACATGCAAAAAATTGAAATTGGACCATCAGCTGACACCATACACAAAAATAAACTCAAGAGGGATAAAAGACTTAAATATAAGTCGCAACACCATCAAAGTCCTAGAGGAGAACATTGGCAGGAAACTCTCAGATATCCCACGCAGCAATTTTTTCACGGATATGTCTCCTAAAGCAAGGGACATAAAGGAAAGAGTAAACAAGTGGGACCTCATCCAAATAAGAAGCTTCTGCACGGCGAAAGAAAACATCAGCAAAATGAAAAGGGAGCCAACTGTATGGGAAAATATATTTGCTAATGATACATCAGATAGAGGTTTGATCTCCAAGATATATAAAGAACTCACTCAACTCCACTCCAAGAAGACAAACGATCCAATCAAAAAATGGGCAAAGGACCTGGGCAGATGCTTTTCTAAGGAGGAGATACAGAGGGCCCAGAGGCATTTGAAAGGATGCTCAGCATCACTAGCCATCAGAGAAATGCAGATCAAAACCACCATGAGGTACCACCTCATACTGGTCAGAATGGCCATCAGAAACAGATCCACAAACAACAGGTGCTGGCGAGGCTGTGGAGAAAAGGGACCCCTAGTCCCCTGTTGGTGGGAATGCAGAGTGGTGCAGCCACTATGGAAAGCAGTGGGGAATTTCCTCAAAAAGCTGAACATGGAACTGCCTTTTGATCCAGTGATTCCCCTGCTCGGACTATACCCTGAGAACACCAAAACGCCAATACAAAAGAACCTATGCACCCCAATGTTCATAGCAGCAGAATTGACAATAGCCAAGTGTTGGAAGCAACCTAAATGCCCATCAGTAGATGATTGGATCAAAACATCATGGTACATATACACAATGGAATACTACGCAGCAGAAAGGAAAAAAGAACTACTAAACTTCGTGACAGCATGGATGGAACTGGAGAGCATCATGCTAAGCGAAATAAAAAAAATAGAAAATATAGAAATAGAAAAAAAAGAAAAATATAAATCAGGGAAAGGGAAAAGGGGCAGTGAGGTTAAGGTTTAAATTTCCCCCAGGTGACCAGGAAAGACCCTGCTGTGGAGTTGATGAGTAAGCAAAGACCTGATTCCATCATGACAGTGTTCTAGGCAGAGAGATAGCAAGTGAGGTAGGTACCTGTCTGACATAGGCAACCAGGAGGGCAGTGTGGCTGAAGTAGAATGAGTGAGAGGGAGAGTTAAAGAGGAGATCAGAGGGGCAATGGGAGACCAAATCTTATAGGGCCCTATAGGCTATTAGGATGACCTTGGTTTTACTATTTTTAAGATGGGCGGCCATTACCCAGGTTACATTTTGAAAGAATTACTCTGGCTACTGAGTTTAAATTAGACGGGAGAGACAAGTACAGCAGTAGAGACACCAGTTAGAAAGCTTCTGCAGCAATATAAAATAAATTGTTACCTAATCTGTGTCTCCCAGACTTCAGCTCCTTTTTACTCAAATAAATGCTTTTTTTTTATTCTTTGGGGAAAAAAAGAAGAGAAAAGAACGCTACTGAAATAAGCTGAGAGATTTTATTCCACACACTTCTAGTCCAAGGCCTTCCCTGACTAGCAGGCTACCTGGTCCCAGTTGTTCAGACCTAACCTTAACAGTTGGGTAAAATGATTCTAGGGGTTATTTAGGTGCTCAAATCAGATCCAAAGCTTGTAATGAGAGTCCTTAACTGTGTTTGAAACCAAGGAGAGTATAGGAGAAACTTGAAGGGAAAGGGTCCAAAAACCAGGACAAATAGCCCAGGGCAATCCTCAAGGGAGTGGCCAGACTGGCTACAAGGCATGTCAGTGAAGGACATTATACTGAGGGCATGTTGTCTGCCCACTTCCTGTGTCCCAAGGAAAGGCAGCAAATGCTGTGCCTTTTGTAGATAAAGACACTGAGTCAGAGAACAAAGTTTGAGTGAATCTGGAAAGTTATTTAGAGATCTTAACAACCAGATTATACCAAATGAAAGATGCAGCATAGGGGTAAAAACCAGCTGTGAAAATCATCTAGATCAAGAAAATTCCAGGCAAGGCCTGTGAAATTACTTCAGGACTCAACAGAAGCTTCTCAATTTCCAGTAATAAAAAATTCTAAGTCTACACATGCGTATATAATTATAAATCTGTTGATAACATTTATTCCATTAAAGGAGAGGTTCCTCCCCTTAACCCAACATACAACACATAAAAGCGTGCAAAGTAAATTTTATCTTAAATTCTTAGGAAAAGTGCCTAACAGTGGTTATCTATAGAAGGGAGCAAAGGAGAGAGAAATTTTTATTGTCTATATTATATATTTCTGTAATGTTCTAACTTATTTACAGTGAGCCTATAATTTTATTAATTAACAGAGTCAGTTTGGAGGCATTAAAAGAGTAATAAAGCCCTGGCTGGTGTGGCTTAGTGGATTGAGTGCCAGCATGCAAACCAAAAGGTTGCCAGTTTGGCTCCTGGTCAGGGCACATGCCTGGGTTAAGGGCCAGGTTCTCAGTTGGAGGTGTGTAAGAGGCAACTGATTGGTGTTTCTCTTCTTCTCTTTCTCCCTCCCTTCCTCTCTTTCTAAAAGTAAATAAATAAAATCTTTTTTAAAAGATAGGTATTTTTTTTTAAAGAAAGCAATAAAGACATATAAAAAATGCACTGAGGAGCTAACCATTCAATGGAGCCCTTGGGTAAATAGTTTTGAAAAGTGAAGAGATATAATAATGTGAATAACTGAACACTATTTTATCTGTGTAATGACATATTTCTATATATCAGGGGGGTTTTAGTAATATAGGCAGGACCTATTTTCCTAAGTAATAAAAAGCAAGAAAGTTACCTAAGAAAGTTCTAAAAAGACTACTGAACAACAATTAGATTTCATTTTCTGGATATTATAACGAAAAAAGGAAAGCAGTTATCAGTATGCAATGAGTTAAGGGCAATCTTATCCAGAATCAAAGCTGCCAGACAGCTTCCTGCAGGCCTATGATTGTTATTTCTCAAAAACATCTCTGAGGCATTTAGACTTCAGTCTGCTTAAAGAGCTTACAGCTAAAAAAAGGAAGTTAGCACATGGGTTCTCTTATTATTGTATTCTGCCATGGTGATTTTTAGACTAGCAGGAACAACTATGTAGTATGTTACATGGGCTAGAATTAGTAGACAGAAGGGACATAGTTAAGGTAGAACAGTTGTCTGAGCTTTGAATTCTTTTGCTTTTTTAGTTTTTTGCTGCTTTGATGTAATATAAATACAACTTCATTTCAAAATATTAATCACAGATTTTTCCCAGTTCTGTTCTACTCTTATTTTTGACATACACACACAAGTACAAACAGTTTCTGGTAACTGATTAAAACTACAAGATTTTCAGTAGAATACCAAGAAAGTACAAAAGTCACATTCAAAAAGGCTTTCAAATAGCAAGGACTCATGGACAAAACCAAAGGGGAAGAGTTGAGGGAGAAAAGGAGGAAGAGAGGGGGCAAGGGAAAGTGGTGGTGGGGGAAGGCAGAGACAAGTGTATTTGAAAAAATAAATAAATAAATTTTTTTTAAAAAGGCTTTCAAAAGATTCACTTACCACTGGATTTAATTTCTCGGACATAATTACTAGGGAACCAGCCTGTTCTCCCATTTAATGTGCCTTCCCACCAGCCTCCTTCTTCAACTCTAGTGACGTAAATGATGTCCCCTTTACATACTGACAGTTCATCTTCATTAGTCTGCTTAAAGTTGAATCTTGCCTTTACTATTAACTGGTGACTTCCATTTTCCATCATTTCCTAGAGAAACAAAAGCCACACCAGATGAAGCACTCATCCAAATGAAGCAGGAGCAGAAATTTAGGCAAATTAAGTGGGGTTAACCTAAGATAAAACCCAAGGTCCATCTCAGTCTTGAGTTTTTAATTTAGGAATGAGCTTAACATGGATAGGACTGGGGCGGTGGGGGGGGGTTAATAAACCTCTCAAAACTGTATGCAAACTTTGGTACTTGTGACACTGTGCATTTTGGAGAGTCATAGTTTTCATTTCCCTCTCCCCCTACCAATGATCTAAAGATACTTATTTAAATGACCCAGGAAACAAAGTAGAGCAATAAACTATTCCATCCTGCCTCTACCCAACACAAAGGCTGATCTTACATAATTATATGACCAAGATTAGGTACTAACCTACTCTCATAAAATCTGCCTCCCACATTCCAATTACTCAGAATATCTTAAATTGGCTAAGACTTAGTCACATGGAAAGATCAAATACTCCATAGTTACTGTCAGGAGTTCTTAGTCTGTCACAAACCCCTTTGAGAAGCTGATGAGCACAAATGAACTTTACCCAAAATACATAAACCCAGAGGTTCATACAAAGAAGATTTTGCGCACGATCTGAGTGTGGAACCATAGTGTTCATCAGCTTCTCAAAGGGATCTATGATGTCAAAAGTTTAAGTGCTTTGGAAATAATAGTTCATGATGGCTTAAAGCAAGCAGGTGGCTTTGACAAGAAATAACGTCTCAAAAGAGCAGAAGATGGGATGTTCCCTCCCAAACAAAAGCTCCTAGTAAGACCAAATTCAAAGATAACTGGGCTATCCCAATGTAAGAGCTCATCATAAGCCCAATATAAATACAATGAGAAAAATAAGATGGCAATAATGATGACAATAGAAAGTTATTGATTGTCTACTATGTACTATTTAGTACACTATTTAGTTCTAATAAACTGAAGGATGGGGGAACTAACAGCAAACTGCCATCAGGAAGTAGTCATAATGACATAGTTGCATAGCATTCTCAGATAACTTTCTCAATTTTAGGAAGAGACAGAATTTTGGGTTTCAACCCCAATTTTCCCGAATTTTCTTCAACCCTGAACAAAGAGTTGTTCCAGCAGGCCAGCCTGAATTGGTGCTAGGTTTAAAATTAGTTTTCTCCAGACACCCCAAACAATAGGATGACTATCTTACCACATATGGAAATGCAACTGGGATACTGATCTGATTTCATGGATTTTAAAACAGGCAGGGGGAATTGGGGATTATACTTACCACTGCCTTTGACTGCCTTTGCAGCCCTGGAGCTGTGCTAGAAACTGCTCCCTGTGGGTTTGTCTGAGAACTATTAGCAGCACTAAGAGAGGAGGAACGTCCACATGGTCTTTCTGATAGCTGATCTGTGAAAAGAGGAAAAGGCATGGTAAAGGGAACCACTCATGTCAGAAAAACATCTACAACATAACATTAACTTTTGTGGGACATTATCAAAAGCAATCTGGCTGTAATTCTGTTATCATTATGAATGTGCCAAGTGTCTTTCATCCCCCCTCCCTTTTTGGTGGCCAACTTCTTTTTCTTAACCTTACTGGCCATTGCTCTCCAGTAGAATGAAAAACAGCGACAGAACCACATTTTCTCTTAACCCATTTCCCTACAACTCTTCCCTCCTGAGCCAGTTGCAACAGTATGCACTGTTATCCCAGGCAGAACTATATTGGGTACCAAACAGCTGTTTGTGGCTCTTATTACTTTGAAATATTTCAAATTTCTCTCTTTGTTTTTTGGCCTATAACTGAGTGGTTCTTTTCTTCCTCACATGTAACAATATGTGTGGTATATATCATGTAAAATCTCTCTTTGCCTTGTGAGGGAGGGAAGGACGAGAATGACAGACTGAGTGTGTCTGGGAAAGATGCAATATTAACACTAGAATAATTTTTTTTTTAAATCGAACTCAAGAGTCCTCTCTTCCTTGAAACCTTGTGAAATTCGATCATACCAGCACTGAGCTGGATGTTTTCAGTATGCTGAGAGTGTACTAAAGAGAAGAGCTGGCTTCTTGACAAACTCAAATGAAGGTTCTTTTCCTCTCCATTTATTTTTAAAAGATATAAACTGCAAAAGTCTAAAGCCCAAACATTCCCTAGGCGACAAGCTCAGTATCCAAGTAGTTTCCTTGATGCTATGGGTTTTAACTTTCACCTCCTTGTATTTTATAAATATCTGTGGTGAGGGAAAAGACTATAAAACTTGCTAGGAGAGTTTGGCAAAGGAACATATAATTTGTATGGCATAATGTTAGAATTATACGGTTCTCCCTGCCCAGAAATGGAGAGTTGTCATGTGTGTTAAATATAGTTACTTGAATTAGCTGTACTTTCTGCTCGACGCCTTGCAATAGCTCAAAGCATTTTTTTCCAAATAGCAAAAGAACAATTTCGAAGAAGTATTTTTACATTTATTGCTATTATAAACAGCTCTTTTGACTAAAACTATAATTACTTGATAGCTTCCTGGATGCTCCATCCTATTTGGCACTTGATTATATTGCCTGCTTTTCTTCTCTAATTGTTTCATGTGGGTAAGTTGAGTCTCCCTAAATAGATGGTAATTTTCTCAAAGACAATATCTTACATTTCCTTTGTAGCACCTGGCAGTGTTGGGCACACACTCTGTTGACTCTCCAATGGCTGGAGCAGCAAGACCCATGTTTGGACATAAGGGCTCTGGAGTCAAGTCAGATATGGGTCTGAATCCCAGTTCTGCCACTTACCTTCTAGATGGGCAAGCATGGGCCTGACTTTCCTTATTTGTAATATAAGCCTAATAATAACAATGCCTAAGTCCAGGGTTGTTCCAAAGATTTAATGAGACTACTTAAGGCTCACAGGACTGCCTAGACCCATAGTAAGGACTCAAAGCACTTTAACTATGATTACTACTGCCCAGTTGTAGGTAAGATACTATATCACAAAAAGAGAGAAGTTATACTCTACACCAGCAATTTTCAACCAGTGTGCACAGGATTTTTAAAACATGTGACATCTGACTATTTAGTCAGGGCCACTGACCTCTTTTCTCTTAGACTGTCAAATAAAAAAAAAAAAAGACAACAGCCAACACAACGATAGCTGTCTGGTGTGAATGCCCTGTCTTCAACCATAAATATATAGGTCATATAATAAGAGTTGTATCTTATTGGTCACGTCGCATAATCAGGTTGCGTGTGATTGGTTAATTCTTAGTAGAATCCAGAAATAATTATATACAAGTATAGGCACCTGATTTTTATAAAAAGTCTCTTTGGAACAAAAAGGGTAGGTAATTACTATTATTATTTTTTTGTAAACCAATCAAAATTATACCTATTTTTTTGTCAGATCAGCAAAAATATACTTTTCTTGTACCACAAAATTTCATTTCATCTTTAATAGTTTATTTTTACTGTATTTTTCCATTACCATTTATCCCCCTTTTGCCCTCTCCCATCTCCACCCTCTCCCTCCCTCCTGAAATTACCATAGTTATCCATGTCCATGAGTATGCCACAGAATTTTAGTAATTAGTTTATATGTGTGATGAGATGAAAAAGATTGAAAATTGTTGCTCTAAGGTAATCAGCATTTTCTTTGCAATTACTAGGATACATATTTAATACCTCCAATGTGGTGGATATTGATATTTAAATAAAAGATATTCTTTTCACTTGCTATGAACCTAAGGTTTCATTTCCAGTGCAAGGTTCCTGGGGGGTTCCTTTACTTGGACAAAGACATACAGCAAACTATGAGAAAAATGTCTCTAGTGGAGAAAGGGAAGTAAGAGCTGTAGTCTGTAAACTTTACGAAAAAGGGAACTGGTCTTTTCCTTTTTATTTTCTGTCTTGTTACACTCAGTTGCCTATTCAACAGTTTTGAATGAAACAGTTTCTTGGTTCTTATCATTATATTAAGGGCATTAGAATGTCATCTGTGATAGGTATGTTTAAATCCTAAATCACGATGGTAATAGAAAACAATGCAATAAAAATTAAATTAAAAAATAAATCCTAAACCATGAAAAATTAAAGCATTTGATGCCCATTGGAGTGTATTTGGAGGAAGGGGAGAACCTTTTACCAATCAAACCTAGCCATACTTGGTTTCTAGGGTAATCAGAAACATGTGGATCCAATCATGTAACCCAGAACTCATAAATCACAAACCCCGCTTACCTTCTGTTGCTTTGTTGACAGCTAAAAGAGTACTCAGAACCTTGGAGAAATTGACCCCTGAATAAAGGTCATCAGGATCAAATACCTATGAGAAAGGAAATTGAAACTGTAAGACATCCAACTCAACAAACCCAACTATTAAAACACCATTTCCTTTAGCTCTTAGAAGAAAAAAAATGTAAAAGCCAAGGCCCAAAACCTCTGCATACCTTTGGGAGAAATGAAAGCAGCAGCTGAGCTGACTAATGACATGTGGCAGGCCATCAGTGAGTCAGAGCAAAGCAGTAATGGGAAATGAGAGCCAAGTTGAGAATGCAGGGCCCACCAGGAAATGCACAGTGCCTACTCAGGCCCACTCTTCTGACCTGAACATATCAATACTCTTAGCCTAGTTACAGGAAACTTATATGCATAGGTTACGGTTAATGCCCATCACCTACAGAATGTCCTTAATAGTCAACAAAGGAAGTGAAGGCTTTCTGACACTTTTTCATCTGTTAAGTTTATTCATTGTACTCAGTAAGGGCACTGTGAGCTATGCCTCTCTCTCTCTGATGTTTGTCCTCTGCATTGCCAACCACTGGGTCCCAACACCTGTGATCCCAGCTCCACATTGCCCAAACTTTGCACCCAGATTGGTTGACCTTAACCTCCTCAGCTCATCTTCATGGATATCAACCTCTGCCTGTCCGAGCTTATAGATTCTTTCTGGCCTTAAGCGATTTTTCCAGATATGACTTCTGACACTGCTGATTCTACTCAACTGTCAGCAACAAAACATTAAATACATACATTTCACTTTTCCAGCCTCAACCATCACTCTGTATACCACTGTCCATAGTGAATATTGCTGTTTTAAATAAAATTTATTAATTTTAAAATGTATTTAATGTATTAAAAAGTATTGAAACTTCTCCTAGACTCATATATGTGTATTTTAAACTAGAAGTATTCTCAAGTACAGGCACAATCTATTAATTTGTCAGCCAATGATATAGATACATATGTCTATAGGTAACCAAATACCAACTTTCTGGATGGAAATTCACCTACTAAAAACATTTTGTTCCAAAATGCCTGAGTTTGTGTCTCCCCCCCCCAAATATGATGGGGAAAAATGTACCTTCTCATGTGGGACATGATTAGGCCTTACATTTTGAAGGATGTCTTCACATTAGGTACATCCATTTGCTCCATTCCTAATCTGCCTGTTTCTTGGGAGTCACATTTAGACAAAATTTTACCTTTTTTGTTTACATAATCTTGAAGATATAAGATTCATCTCTAGAATAAAAATATAGAGCATCCTTTCTTTTTCAAATGAGGAGGCATCCATATAAATAATATATGGAAACGTAAGCTTATAGAAGTCTGCCTACTCTGGAATTCACAGGTCTGCTATTCATTTACTCAATAAATGTTTTGTATTCATACTTAAAATGATTAAAGAATCCTTTCACATCTAAAAATGATACACTAATATACTTTTAGTAAAGGGCTAATGCTAATGTTACTAAAGTTAAATTACAATCCAAAAATGTTTCTGAATGTTACTGTATATTTCAAAGTTTTCCAGAAATAAACTTATGGACAAAACCTGGGTGAACAAGATCCAATTGACACAGGTAAGGTATCTAATATCCCAGGGGATTCCACACTTATTGATTCTCCCTTAACAATGATAATGAGAAAGGGTTAATGAGAGTTAGACGAACCAAGATGGCGGAGGAGTGAGTGGAAGTCACACTGACCTCCTCCGAGGACCAACCTGCAATTACAACTAAATTGGGGAGAAATCACCTGGAACAAAAAACTGAAAAAGAGCAAGAGAACCTTGAAACCTTGGAGACAGAAGAATCGGCTTTAGCTCAATCTAACTGGTAAGGGGTGTGGTAGAGACCTGAGAAGGCAGGCGGGGCGCCCACAGGTGGCAGCACCAGAAGGATATTGAAACGGCCAGTGGGATCCCCCTGAGAAGAGTGGGGTCTAAACCAAAAGCGGGAATCTCTAGCCTATAACACCAGAGCCCAAAAAGTACAGAAAACAGCCAGCTGCGAAAAGTGGCAGGGTTGTTCTCTACCAGAGACAGGTGGCTGAAGACACAAAAAGAAACTGTTACAGGGCCAATGAATACATTTTTATTTGCAGCCACTTACCCTGGTCTCCAGCAAAGGCAGGGGCAGAGTGGGCTAGAGACGCCTAAGGAGAGACTGGGGAAGGAGACTTTGGGGAGAAAATGGAGAGAGTAGCCAGCGGGATCTCGGTGCTGACTCTTCCCCCAGGTGGCAGCAGCCATCGTGCTCAGGCAGAGACCACTCCCCCTGAGCTGAACCAGCGTCAGAGGACCCCATAGCCCTGCCCCGGGGTGGAATTCCACCCTGCCCTGTGCTGTCTAAGCTGCCTGCTGAGCACAGAGTGGCAGCCACAGATCCTTGGCTAAAGGGGGCGCAGAGAGGTCTGGCGATGCGTGAGGAGAGACTGGGAATGGAGGCTTTGGGGAGAGAATGGAGAGAGTAGCCGGCAGGATCTCAGTGTGGACTCCTCCCCCTTATGGCAGCAGGGAGAGAAGACCCAATAACCCCGCCCCGAGGAGGGACTCCGCCCCGCCCTGAGCTGTCTAAGGCGCCCTGCTGAGTGCAGAGTGAATGTATTAACAGCTGAAGGAGACAGCCACAGGCAGCAGATTACTGGAAGTCTCTAACAGACTGCCTAAGGTCAGACAGGGACGACATCTGATATCATCATAGGCAGATCCATAAAGAAAAATCAGCGGTCTCCAACGGTAGAAGTTCATACCACAAAGTCAGGAAATCAAAACAGATCAACTTAAGAAACAGAAACAAAAGAGGAGAGTCTCTATCAAATAATGGGAAGACAAAGAAATACACCCCACTTAAAGGGAAAGGAGGAATCTCCACAAAGAGAACTAAATGAAATAGAGGCAAGTAAACTATCAGATACTGAGTTCCAAACAACGGTTCTAAGGAAGCTCAATGGAGCTCAGTGAGCTCAGAGAGAATGCCAAAAACTACAGGGAAACTATGAGGAATTTACTGCAAACTATATCAGCATGAAAAAGGACACAGAAACTATCAATAAAAGACAAGAGGAAATGAGAATACAATTTCTGAATTGAAGAACACAGTAGAAGCAATCAAAAGCAGTCTAGACGAAGCTGAGGACCGAATCAGCGATCTGGAAGATAAGGTAGTAAAAAGCTCCCAGAATGAGCAAGAAAATGAAAAAATACTCAAAAATAATGAAGAGGCATTTAGGGAAATGCAGGACAACCTGAAACATAATAATATCCATAGAGTAGGGATACCAGAAGGAGAAGAGGATGAGAAAGGGATAGAGAACCTGTTTGGAAAAGTCATGATGGAAAACTTCCCTCACTGGAGGAGAGAAAAAATCACAGAAGTCCAGGAAGCACAGAGGGTCCCATTCAAGAGGAACCCAAAGAGGCCCACTTCAAGACACATCATCATTAAAATGGCAAATATCAAAGACAAACAGAATCCTAAAGCAAGCAAGGGAGAAACAGGTAATAACATATAAGGGAGCCCCAATACGGCTAGCATCTGACTTCTCAACAGAAACACTGCAAGCCAGAAAGGACTGGCAAGGAATATTACAAGTACTTAAAAGCAAAGGCCTGCATCCAAGACTGCTCTACCCAGCAAGGCTCTCAATTAAAACGGAAGGCAAAATAAGGAGTTTCCCAGACAAAAGAAGACTGAAAGAATACACCTCCACCAAACCGGCATTGCAAGATATGCTAAATGGACTGCTTTAAGATGAAGAAAAAGTATCTATGAATACCCAGTTCCTTTTAGAGTTGCCAATACTTGATATTACCAATATTTTTAATACTCCTTAATCTGATTATGATAATGATGTTACTTTAATTGTTCCTTTACTATTTGTTGAAACTAAACCTGTTTTAGTATATTTCTTGCATATTTTTATTATTTTTTTAAAATGCTTTAAATGACTTTTTGGTATTCTTTATCCATTTATTGATTAAAGGTTTGTAGAAATTTTTTCCCTAAAAAAAAAAAAAGCCTATTAACCATGTTTTAGATGTGTTGCAAATACTGTTCTATTCTATTCCTTGTCCTTCAACTTTTTTTATATGTATATTACTATATAGTTAAATGTTTAATATAGTCATATTGTCAATATTTACTTTATAGCTTCTGCATTTGAATATTTTACTTCAGGTCATGAAAAATATTAGTTCTATTTTCTTCTAAAACTCTTTTGATTCTACATATTGATTTTTAACTCCCTTAAATATTTCTTATATAATGTGTGAAATAGGGCTCTATATTTGTTTTATTTCAAGTAATAGTGGTCCATGCACCTTAGTTGTTGAATAAGCCTTATTTTACCCATTATTTGAAATATCAACCTAATCATACATATATTAATCAGATATATATGTTTGTCTCTAGTATGTTCATTATATTTCATTGATCTACTTGATTATTTCAGTGCTGGTGTCATGTTGGTTTAATTGCTGAGACTTTAGAATGGTTTTTAATTTTTGAAAATATTTTATAATTAACTTTGACATTTAAAAAAATAAATAAAATCAATCTGCATTTAAGAAGGAAAGAAAGAGAGAGAGAGATGTAATTCCTACCTTTTACAACATCATGGATGGAACTGGAGAATATTAATCTAAGTGAAATAAGCCCATTGATGAAAGACAATTACCGTATGATCTCACCTATAAGTGGACTCTATTCAACAAAATAAACTAATGAACAAATAAACCACAGGCACGGAAACATGGAGCAGACTGAAAGTGACCAGAGGGGATGGGGAAGGAGGACAATGGTGGAAAGAAGGGGAAGGGACTAGAAAAAGAACATGTATGAATGACCCATGGACATGGACAACAGAGTAAGAATTGACTGTGGGAGTTGGGGTTGGGGATGTGTGGAGGGGGATAAAGGGGGGAAAATTGAGACAGCTATAATAGAATCAACATGATTTATAAATTAAAGAAAATAAAAGCATCAACAGAAAGGGTAATGATACATATACCAAAAGAGTAACAAAGCAAAAAACATTCAT